ACGCTTTTTGGCTGTTTCGGCAACCAGCCGAAACAGCCTTTGTTTTCGTTCAGATTTTTTATTTTTATTTTTTTTGGCTTTTCCGCAAAGTTGCAGAAAAGCCTTTGTTTTGTTCTGATTTTTTTTCTTTCTTCTTCTTCTTCTTGTTCCACACCCAAAATCCTATAGACTTTGTGCACGTCTTTTGTCAGCACCACTTTTGGCATTGATCTTTGTCCTACATCATTCAAAGTTACCATAGGCAAAGTCCCTATAGCAAAGTTGTGTCCCGAGGAGTGACCTCATGGTGATGTCATCATGTGACGTCATCTTAAATGTGCAAATTTAAAAGTCCTATGTCTAGAGAACTGTAAGTCCGATTGGGTTGAAACTTGGTATGTAGGTAGACCGGGATGTGTTATAGGTGAAAATTGAGATGACGTCATCATGACGTCATCATGTGATTGTATACATATTTTTGAAATTTTGAGGCTTAGCACCATATCTCACGAACGCAGTATGCTAAATTCAAAATTTGTTTTGTATTAGGTTTATTAGGTGATAGATATATGCACAGATTTTTTTTTAAATGTGTGACGTCATGATGACGTCATCAAAAATGAGATTTTTCAAAACACATATAAGGGAAGATCCGATCGTCATGAATCTTGATGGAAAGGTAGAAAATGGTACTAGTATGCAAAATCTGAAATGACGTCATAATGACATCATCAGCTGATTTATTATGAATTTTTGATTTTTTAAGTTATTTTTCTTATTACAAAATTTGACACTGTTTTTGATCTGATCGACTCCAAACTTGGTGCAGACAAAGACCACATTAATATATTTACAAAGATACAAAATCAGAAGCCATGATGACGTCATAATGGGTCCCAGTGCATCATCTTAAAGGTGTCCAGTCTTCAAGTTCTAAATCTAAATAACAAACAGCGCATAAAATAATGATACTGCATTCAAAACTAAACAAGTCAGGTGTGTTTACAAACACAAATGCCCCGCAACCGTGACTGTTTCCATGACATAACACCACTCTAACATCAACTTACATGTACCTTGGTCAAAAGGAACGTTCATTGACAGCATTACTGTCTTCTGTAGGTTTAATATGAATTAATCCCTAATCCCTACGATCTCAGAATAAATACAAGATTTCTATTGTTTTAGCCACTGTGACCTTGACCCTTGACCTTTCGGCCCCAAATGCAAAAGGCTTCTTAGGATTACCAAGGACAATCCACAAACCAAATTTGAAGTTCATATGTTAAGTATTTCTCAAGTTATCGCGCTGACAAGATTTGTCCGGACACACACACACACACACCCACCCACCCACAGTATGCCCCTTCGGCTTCGCCGTGGGGCATAAAAACATAACCTCAATTAAAAAACATAATGCGGAAAAGCCCTATGTTCTGTTGCAAACAGACATAGATCTTTTTCTCTTTTTCAGTCATTTCTGCCCATAGCATTTGTACACGTATTTTTGTTACCAACACTTTGGCCACTAAAATTAATCCGATTGCCTTTATACTCGGCATATACTTAGACCAGCATCTGAAGTTGTGCGCCGAACATTGAAGTCATCATGACGTCATCACGAGTCACGTGACATCACATTATATGTGATAATCCTGTTGTGACCATTTTCTAGCAGAATTCAGCTAGATCTCACAGATTTGGCTATATCTCCAGAACTACAGGTCCGATTGGGTTGAAAGTTGGTATGTACCTAGACCGGGATGTCTTACAGATGAACATTAACTTGACGTCATGATGACGTCATCACGCGACATATGACGTCATATAAAATAAACATATTTTGAAGGTCTATATCTCCAAAACTACAGGTCCGATTGGCCTGAAACTTGGTACATGTACCTAAAACCGGGATGTGTTATAGATGAAATTTGAAGTGACGTCACGATGACGTCATCACATGACATGTGAGGTCATATTAAAATAACATATTTTGAAAGGCCGATATCTACAGAACTACAGGTCAGATTGGGTTGAAACTTGGTATGTACCTAAACCAGGATGTGTTGTAAATGAAAATTTAAGTGACGTCACGATGACGTCATCATGTGACATGAGATGTCATATTAAAAATAGCATATTTTGAAGGCCAATATCTACAGAACTGCTGGTCTGATTGGGTTTAAACTTGGTATGTACCTAAACCGGGAAGTGTTAGAGATGGAACTTGAAGTGACGTCACGATGAAGTCATCATGTGACATGTGATGTCATATTAAAATAGCATGTTTTGGAGGCCAATATCTACAGAACTACAGGTCAGATTGGGTTGAAACTTGGTATTTACCTAAACCGGGATGTGTTATAGATGACGTCACATGTGACGTCATATTAAATGTGCATATTTTGAAGCACAATATCTACAAAACCACCAGTCAGAAACTTGGTATGTACCTTATCTGGGATGTGTTATAGATGAAAATTTAAGCGACGTCACAATGACGTCATCACGTGACATGTAACGTCACATTAAAAGTGCATATTTTGAAGGAAAATGGGGTTGAAACTTTGGATGTACCTAGACTGTGATGTGTTATAGATGAACATTTAAGTGACGTCACGGTGACGTCATCATGTGACATGTGACGCCACATTAAAAGTACATATTTTGAAGGCCTATACATGTATCTACAGGACAACATGTCTGATTGGGTTGAAAGTTGATAATGAACCTACATGTAGATCGGGATGTGTTACAAAATGAAAATCGAAGTGAGCTCACGATGACGTTATTAAGTGGCATGTGACGGCATATTAAATGTGTATATTTTGAAGGCAAATATCTATAGAACTGTATTTGTCCTGATCACTCTACCGCACGTCATATCAGTCTTACATGACATATAATCATACAATAACAAAATAACCGAAACATCCGTATGTTTGTACACAAACATAATTAAATCTAGTTCAGCATATTCTTAGTCTCCCCAAAATACTGTACTCCACAAACCCTGCAAGAGATGAGATGTATGACATGTTTTGCAGGTGATGTTGCCAATGCACCGGTGAGTGGTGCCAGAAGAGTGGCCAGAAAAGGAATCAGATTCCTGTAAAATCAATAGGTGGGGTGGGGTGGGGGGAGGGGCTCATACCATACTTTCAATGGGGGCGCTATTCAAATCCGACGATCATCAAACTGTATTACAGAATAGTATAGAAATACCACCGTAACCCAGCTGGTTCTGACCGAATTCTGTGCAGAGATGGATATTTTTACCAGTACAATTGTCATAATTGTTTTTTACTGTCAGAGCAAGTTTTTTTTTCCTTCACATTATTGAGTGGTCGGGCACAACCCAAACTCTGTTTAGAATTGTTCTGATAAATCTTCTTTCTTTCTTTCTTTTTTTTCTGGAAAATACTTCTCCGCGGATTTCTCCTAAATGGTTTATGGTGTGAACTTGTAACTTTGAACATATATTGACCCTCATCCCGAGTGGCGCGTATTACTCTGAGGTCATGATGATGTCATCGGGTGTCAAATTACAAACAATTTTTGTTGAAAATGACAACGTCTTTCACTTATAACTCTCGAAAAAAATAATCTACCATGTTCATACGTTGTAACCACAAAGACCATTAATTAATAAACATTTTTTTGTCATGTATGTGAACTTGCTTGATCTTTTTACTTCTGGGTCAAATATAGGTGAATTCAAAATACAGACAGAAATTTCTTCCAAACAATTTACGGGATTATGACAAAACCTGGTATGAACGTGAACCCGTCCGAAGATGTTAAAAAAAATCTGACGTCATCATTACATCATCAGCTATCAAATTACAAGCAATTAAGGGCCAAATTTGAGAAAATAGTTTCAGCTATATATATATATCTTAGAGCATCATGTTCGTTTTTTGTGTGTTACTGTGAGTGCAATAAGAATTGAATATAACTCAAAAGCAGAAGCTTTTTTTCTATAAGCAAATAAATTATGGAAGTGATTAGAAAGGAATAAAGGATTTAAAAAAAACAGCATTATGACGTCATCATCTGAAAGATTGCCCTCTAGCGGTACATCAAATAGGGTTTCTTTTTTATTTTTTTAAAAACCATCCGTCCAAATAACTCAATTGCCCCTTGTAATTTTTTTATCAACTACATATAACTTTAAAGGTTTTAAAATTATGACGTCATCAGACCGAAAGTTACTGAAGGGAGAATTTGAAAAAGATATTTTTTTTTAAATTCTATCATTTGATCCCTGTCTTACGACTTTGTTCGTAGCCCAACTAATGATATCCGTTTTAATGTTGACCTTTGTATCTTAAATGCTGTGACGTCATCAAACCGGAAGTCAGGTGTTATTATACACTTATATTTTTTACATTTTCATACGGTATTTAAACTTCATAAAAAAAAACATGTATCCTCTCCGAACTAAATCAGTATTCAGTTTCCCTTTTTGTACTGATTCTGTGGCGACAAAAAGAAGGGAGAAGAAAGAGCTGTTTCGGTGTGTACACAAACTGGAAGTGCCTTAAATACAAAAGTGGAAAAAGACAAGAACTTGCTGTCAACGATGTTAATCTCTGGCTAGGTTGTATTTTACAAAAAAAATTACCAGTGACGTCATAAAATGTTAGAGCATCCTCCAGCAGCAGGTGGAAAAACGTTTAAAATGAATTTTCAGTTGACTATTGTGGCAAAGTTTTATGACATAAATAGATGCAAGCCCGAACACTGCATTTGTAACTCAACAAATGCGAACCTCTAGTTATCTTTTTTTAAAGAGTTGCTAATACGCTTACAGATTATCCTTCAGCAGTTTCCAAAGAATGTCCTTAATCTACCCAAATCCTTTACTGTTCAGTAAAACTAACAACACTTTTTCATACGAAACAAAACTAGGACCTCAACCCACATGTCCTGCATCCAATTCTGCATTACATGGAATTGAATTTTGGAAAACGTACGGTTGCTAGAACTGATAATCTTTACAATTTGTTTGTTCTTACCTTGCTCGAACCTGTCATCTGCCTGCTTTCTCTCACTCTCTGTGATTGTCTGCTTGTCTAGAACCTGCAGTGTCCGAAGGTGAAACGCAGCAAACAGCCTGTGGTGTGGAAGGTCACATAATGGATTGTCAGCTATCGAAAGCTGCATCAGATCCTTGAGTGGACGCAGTCTAAATACATCAGACAACTGTAGATAGAATGCAGAAAAACATTTTGTGACTTTTGGGGATGGAATTTTGTCATCTAGACCGTACTAGCTTTCTTACATAATATCAGAGGCACACATCAATAAATCACGTTATATCTATAGTTTGACCTCCATTGGCAACCATTTTGTGTAGCTTCTCTGAATCCCTCAAAATATACTGCTGTGGATATATTGACATAAATTCTTCAGACTTCGTCAAAGAAAAGTGGCTTGGCTGTATCTTCTGAAATTCTGAAATCCTCCATATTATACCGCTCTTTTTAGAACAACACAGGAACTGACCTAGAACAAATTGCAACAGGATTTATTTTAATGCCATCGCGCTAAGGAAATACAATTTATCACTATCCAAAATACTAAAAATCTAATTTCATCAAAGGAGTGGAAAAGTGTTTTTATTCATTTTTTCACTACTACTCTTTCATCATACATAAACAGTATGGGGAGCGTCACGTTTTCTTTTCCGTCTGTTTACCATCAGAAAATCCATTCACATCACGTATGAGACTTCGTGTGACACAACTGATAACAGCAGACGATTTTTCCATGTCCACCAATTATTAAAATGTAAAATAATTTACACTGCCGCCTGCAACACCGTATTTATTTGAAAAAAATATAAAAAATTGAGATTTTGTTTACTGCCTGAATTATTAATTGGTTAAAATAAATCACTTTGTTCTCAATTAACTATTTGTTTCAGGTAAAATATTTGCATAAACAGGTCTACTTCAAACATGGGCAGGAAATGACAAAAAGATCCATTAAAATTAAATTTCAGGTGTCTACGCCAACAGGCCAGAGTCCAATTTTACATATTATGGAAAATATCTTAAATCTGAGATTTGTGTGTCCCTTTTGTGATGAATTTAGGTCAATGGCATAACTTATAAATAACATATGAATTCTCCAAAAAAAAGAATATATACTAAAAAAAAAACCTTAATAAAGACAAAGTAACAGGATAAATGAAGTGAAGTGAAAATTGAACCGAGCACCCGGATCAAAGCCTTAGGCCGGAGGAGGGGGGGGGGGGGTGGACCATGCCAATCTTTTCTTTTTAAAGTAATAATAATGCGAGAACTGATCCATAAAAAATTGTTTTGTTGGGACTCAAGTTTGCTTTTCTAGAGAAGTGCATTTCACTCTCGACAGTACAAGTAGACGTCTAAATCATTTGTCCTATTTTGATCAGGATCTTCTCCATTAAGCTGTTTAAAGTTACATCACTGTACCCTACCGTATGGAGAATGTGTGACCTGCATGGAAATCTCATGTACAGAACTACACCTGTTTCTCATCAACCTTATAGACAAGTGTTTTGAGAGGTTTTGTTTCATATTTTCATGTACTAAAAAATGTACTGTAAGCATCACTACCTGAGCCCAGTATTTCCTGAACTTTCTTAACCAAATCAAACATCATTTTCAGGCGCTGAATCAATAGTTTAACTTAAGATTTTTCGGTTCTACTTTCAGAACAGCCCATGCTGTTCCACGTTCCAAATTTTTATCTAAAAACAAAAATGCTTGAAAAAAACACCCTTCCACTCCATAGAAACAATTAGATTTTTCACATGTTGTTTGTGTATTTATTTGAAGTTGTTTGATGCTTGAATGGTTTCTATTGCAATTTGTTCTAGGTCTTAACTTAAATTGATCGGACTATATCTTCCAAATGGATTTTGAAGGATATGGGTGGGATAAGATAAACTATATTAAAGGAAATAAAATACCCCACGGGTATCAGATTATGAAGACAAGGCTTTGCCTCACTGCTTTGTGGGTTGCACCCGCTTTGAGCAACTCACGCAACCACATACGTTTGTTTATAATGTAAATCAAAGATTTTCTATTGTTCCTCTTCCCTTTTCCTTTTTTATAATTCTTACTTTTTTTGCAACAGCTCTCATTATTTTTTGTACACATTTTCTAATTGAGGTCGTCCTTGATTTGGTTCCTGTTGCACGTGTGTGTCCTTAATTTATACCATAAACCTACTCACGTGTGTGTGGGCGTGTTCATTTATTCAAACCTTTGGTATTCAAACCAAACAATACGTCCATGACTGACCAATTGAAATTCGTGTACAAAACCAATGAGAGCTGTTGCTAAAAAGATTAAGTACCAACAAAGGAATGAGGATTAGGGACAATAGGGGTCCATGATAGCAGGTGTTTACAAAGATTAGTGTACAAGCATTACATTTAATGTGAATTTCTGAACAAAAAATGTCCACATAAACCAGTTTTCTGATAAATTGTGCGGACTTGCCAATATCCTTACGACATTCCCCTCTCTGGAAAACATGTTTAGAAGCATTTTGGGTTAGGTTTATTTGTCGCAAAATGAAGAGAAACACTCAAGGGAATCATACAAACAAATTTGGGATGAAAGAGTTCTCACAGTCTGAGTAAAATGATTTTGTTAAAGACAGGAAAACAAAGCAATGTCCACACTAGGTATGTAACATAAATATGGGCACGCACAAGTGTGTATTCGCCTGCAATCAGGGACCCCCTATTGACCTTCATTTGTTGTATTCGCCTGCAATCAGGGACCCCCTATTGTCCTTCATTTGTTGTATTCGCCTGCAATCAGGGACCCCCTATTGTCCTTCATTTGTTTGTACTCGGGACTTGGGGACGCTATTGTTCTGTATTGTTCAACGTCCCCTACTGAATGCAGAAACAAACTCATACAGACAGAGTTGCACTTAGCATTTGGGGTTTATGGGGTACCACTATTGTTCGACCCTAATCCCTTTCTTTTGTTCTCCTTTGTCCCCTTAGAAATCTCAAAACACATAGCTATTGGGTACTTCAATTTCTAAAGACAGACTTGTGTGGTACCATTGTCCCTATTGTTGCCCTTTGTTCCCGGTACCCCATAAGTGCCAATATGTAAGAGCACGCATGTTTGTTCCGTAACTGTAGAAACCACACACAAGTTGTCCCATGGTACTATGGGGACCAAAGACACTGTGGGGACAACAGAAAGTCCACACAACTCGGTCCTAATTTGCCCAATAATAATCAAATTCCCCATAACGCGGTGATGGCCACCCATCCTCGCACGCATACAAGTGTGTATTTGCCTACAATCGGGGACCCACTTTTGTCCCTCTTTTGGTTGTACTTTTTAAGAAGACCTCCCATATGTTTTGTACACATCGCCAAATTGGGGACCTTCAGGAATTGGGTACCCTATTGTCCTCTTTTGTTCAACGTCCCCTACTGAATGCAGAAACAAACTCATGCACACACATGCCTACTGTGGATATTCCTTTGTATTCGTGTAGAAAACAACAGAGAAGTAGATTTATGTTTGTGGACAAACACAGGGCTGTTTCGGTAACTTTTTTGAGACATATATGTGACATAGTTTCAAGTATAAGTTCCATCCAGGAAGGATGTGTAGTTATGTATATATTAAATAACATTCTCATAGGGCTTTGAATTATGACGTCCCATGTCACGTGATGACGTCACATCAGAAAAGAAAATAGTTTGTTATTGTATTTTTATGTCATGTAAGGCTGATAGGACAACATGTGCGGTAGAGTGATCAGGACCAATACAGTTCTGTAGATATAGGCCTTCAAATATGCACTTTTAATATGACGTCACATGTCACGTGATGACGTCATCCTGACGTCACTTTAATTGTCATCCCGGTCTAGGTACGTACCAAGTTTCAACCCAATCAGACCTGTAGTTCTGTAGATATTGGCCTTCAAATTATGCAATTTTTAATACGATTCACATGTCACGTAATGAAGTCATCGTGACGTCACTTAAATTTTCATCTGTAACACATCTCAGTCTAAGTACATTTTTACTTTCATCCCAATCGGACCTGTAGTTCTGGAGATATAGACCAATCTGTCAGATCTAGCCGAATTCTGCTAGAAAATGGTCACAACAGAAAAATCGCATATAATGTGACGTCACGTGATTCATGATGATGTCACGATGATGTCAATCTTCGGTACATAACTTCAGCTGCTGGTCTAAGTGTATGCAAGTATAAAGTCAATCGAATTGATTTCAGTTCCCAAAGTGCCGGTAACAAAAAAATCATGTACAAATGATATGGGCAAAATGACTGAAAATAAAAAAAAACTAGAGCTATATGTTGGTTTAAAAACAGAACACAGGGCTTTTTCGCAGTTAACAAATGTTTATGTTTTGTTGGTCATTTTGCATTTACTTTTTAGAGTGCTTCATGCAGTTAAATGTTGTTCAAAATGCTTAGAATAATTCCTAAAATATAATTGTATCACATGACGCCACATGCCCTGCAATGACGTCATCTTGACAACCCGTGTCAATGCACATTTTGTCATTGTGGTCTTGGTTTGTACCAAGTTTGAAGTCAATCCGATGAAAGGAATTGTAAAATTTTGGAAGCAAAATGAAATTCTTAATTTAAAAAAAATCATACAAAATCTACCGATGACGTCACGGTGACGTCATTTCGGATTGTGCATACTGGTACCATTATATAGCTATCCACAAAGTTTCATGACGATCGTACCTTCCCTTATATGTGTTTTAAAAAATTCGAATTTTTGATGACGTCATGATGACGTCACACATTTTTCAAAATTGTGTGCATAAACCTACAACCTAACAAACATAATACAAACAGAATTTTGAATTTAGCATGTTGCGTTTGTGAGATATGGCTAAAAAGTCCAAAAATTAAAAAAATTCATATAAAATCGCATGATGACGTCATTATGACGTCACCTGATTTTTTATCTATAACACATCCCTGTCTACCCACATACCAAGTTTCAACCCAATCGGCCATACTGTTCTGTAGATATAGGACTTCAAAATATGCAAGTTTGTGATGACGTCACGTGACCCCTGATGACGTAATCATGACGTCACTCTTTGGGACACAACTTTGCCATAAGGACAATGCATATGCTTAATTTGAATGATGTATGACAAAGTTCAATGCCAAAAGTGGCGTGTACAAAAATCGTGTAAAAAATGTCTATGGGATTTTGCATGGAACAAAAAGAAGAAAGTAGGGAGAAAAAAAAAATCAGAACAGAAACAAAGGCTTTTTCGCTGAATTGCGAAAAAGCCAAAAAGAAACTAGATGTATGTTTGTTGACAAACATATGGCTGTTTCGCTATTGTGTTTTTTATGTCATGTTATAGACTACGGGAGATAATAGATGAAGTCGAAAGTTGCAAAATCATGAGGACAAATGGTACAAAGACATATGCTTAAAAATGCAGATTGGATTGAATGTCTATTCTTATCTGATGACGTCATCATGACACGGCTGATATTGTGATCGATATCATATTGAGGTTTAGGTAGAATCTATATTTGTCAACTGAATGGAACTTGTCGCATGTAGTCATATCAACAGAAATTGTGCACAATTTTGCGAAACCATTTTTCCAATCATAGGTATTTAGCCTCCAAAATATGCAACTTTACTATGACGTCATATGTCACGTGATGACGTCATCATGACGCCACTACAACGTTCATCTATAACGCATCCTGGTCTAGGTACAAACCAACTTTTAACCAATCAGTCATGTAGTTCAGGAGATATATGCCTTTAAAATATGTTTATTGACTATGACATCATATGTCACGTGATGACGTCATCATGACATCATTTTTTATTTATTTATAAGATATCCCAGTCTAGGTATATTCCAAATTTGAACCCAATCGGACCTGTAGTTCTTGTAATACCGGCCTTCAAAATATGTATTTTTACGATGATGTCATATGTCATGTGATGACGTCATCATGACGTCACTTTAATTTTCATCTATAACACATCCCGGTCTAGGTACATACCAACTTTCAACTCCATCGGACCTGTAGTTCAGGAGATATAGGCCTTCAAAATATGTTTATTTTATATGACGTCACGTGATGACGTCATCACGGCGTCAAGTTAATTTTCATCTATAAGACATCCCGGTCTAGGTACATACCAACTTTCAACCCAATCGGACCTGTAGTTCTGGAGATATAGCCCAATCTGTCAGATCTAGCCGAATTCTGCTAGAAAATGGTCACAACAGAAAACTCGCATATAATGTGACGTCACGTGACTCATGATGACGGCACGATGAAGTCAATATTCGGCACACAACTTCAGCTGCTGGTCTAAATGTGTGCTGAGTATAAAGGCAATCGGATTAATTTTAGTGCCCTTAGCGCCGGTAACAAAAAAACGTGTACAAATGCTATGGGCAAAATGACTGAAAAAGAACAAAAAAAGAAAAAATCTTAACAAAAACAAAGGCTGTTTCGGCAAAATGCCGAAACAGCCCCCCCCCAAAAAAAATCTAAACGAAAACAAAGGCTGTTTCGGCTGGTTGCCGAAACAGCCAAAAAAGTACTTTTAGTTGCACTGTGAACACTTTTTCAACTTGAATTTTCGATACAGATTTCCTAGACTGTTCCTCTTCATTTTGCGACAGATAACCCTAACCCAAAATGCCTCTAAAACTGTTTTCAGAGAGGGCAAAACGTTGGGTGGACGTGGTAAGTCCACAAAACGTTCAAACCTCCAACACCCTGTAGATCTCTTTTGTTCACAGGTCCACAAATTGGGTTAGCTGTGAGGGCTGAGATGGTTAACACTGTGATTGATGGTTTTGGTAGCTGCTTTTTTTGTTACAACATTGGCAGAATCAAGCTGCACATGTATACTCCCTAAATAGCTGAATGATTTAGTGGCTTGGTGAACAGGGGTAATACTGTACATGTAGTACCAATGTTGGTGGATATATACGCTTACAAAATATGCATGATTATTAGTTTTAAGGAGACACGTTATTGTAGTTTCTTCGCACACAGTCCCCCTTTAGAGGCAAAATTTTATTGTGGCAATTAGGTTATATTTGTTGCTTGTGGTCTAATCAGTAAACGTACCGAAATTCGTGGAAAAAGGAGAAGGGAATATTGGGTTAGGGCACATTGAAGTTTGAAAAATTTTGTGCACAAGTCTATGGGAATGTCTCCCAAATGACCCATTTACCGTAATGATAATATTTATCATTATTATTATTCCATATGCTGAAATCTTTGAATTAGTGGTTAGGGTAGAGTTGATTTGTAAAAGATGAAAAGATGTCAAGTTGTAAATGAAGTAAACTAACAGAGTAAAGCAGATTCCCAGCAATGTGGAATGCTCTCAGTGCAGTGAGTTTCTTGGCTAGCCAGGCTGGAATTGTCTCAATAAGATTGTGAGACAGGTTTAAGGTTTGCAGGTGTGTTAAGGTCTCCAGACCTTCCACCTTGTTGATCCTATTGCAGCTGATGTTTAGTTCCCTGAGTCGCATTAGGTGATGGAGGTTTTCTATCTTGCTGATCTGGTTGTGGTTGATCATCAGGACTTGGAGATTTGTAAGACCCTCAAGATTTTCAATGTACTGGAAAAAAGTGAATGGAACAGATGGGAAAATATTATGAATAGGAGAATAGAATCCATACCTTTCAGTCCAAGCCAGATAAAGAAGGGCCCCTTGAAGACAAGAAGTTGCATTTTTTTTTAAATATCAGTTTGTAACATAACTATGTTACATAATTTGGTGATGCTGAATCCGCATATGATAAATACCAATCTGAAGATTAATGAGGCATTATCATCAAAATAAACATTATCAATGGGTAATGTTCCGTATTTTATCAAAAATGAAAAATATATTATACAAACAGTAACTTATGAGATTAAAGGACATTTTTTTGATGATCTCAAAATATACATGACATGGATTGATTTCTAAATTTGTTTTTATAAAAAAAAATTGTTGCTAGACTTGTTTCAAGCTGAAAGGGGCATATATGAGATGAACATTATGGCCTTCCTGAAAGACAAATGATTTGATTGTTACACTAAAAACATTGTTGCTTAATTGAGGGTTGCAACAACAGTTGTCCGTAAATTCTATGCGATTGCTTGGAAAGCATTGTTATATATCTACTTTTCAGGTAATCTGTCATCGGACTGTATATCAATGTAGCTAGTATCAATGTAGCTAGTGTCAAATTAAAATTTGACATCGGCGTATTAGCCGCACCGGCGTATAAGCTGCACCGGCCGCAGTGGTTTCAATTTTGTAAGGTCTCCAAATTCTAAAGTCAAAAAGCTCTGGACCGGTTCCATTTACACTACGAAAGCTATAAAAAGGGCCACAAAAGTTATATATCAAAACATTTACGGTAGATGCTCGTTAAAAAAAAATGTTTTACATTGTTTCTTGATTACAAATTTCCAGAAAAAATTGTATTGTGATGTTTGAACAACTGCTTGTCGAATAAAGAAACGTTTCAGACACCAAAAAAAGTATTAGTTGTCTTTTTTTTGGGAAACAGCGGAAATATTTGTAATTATTGTTCCCAAGAAAGTACACCCCTTTATTACAACAAATAGTGTGGTCCACAAGAGTGCATGGTGCAAATAGCGGCACATCAATGTGACTGTATGGTCAGCAACGAAGACAGCTTTCACTCACGCACGGCCGCAATTTTGATACATGTACCGCTCAGTACCTTTTTGTGGGACGTGCTTCCATTGTTGATAATGACCTTCCAGTACCTCAAGTCCAGTAACGATTGATAATTTATTTCAGCAACATATCTTTTCTTATACATGTACCAGTACATTAAATACACATTTAAATCTCATTTTTATTCTTCAAGGCTCGGCGTATAAGCTTCCCTGTGTATAAGCCGCAGTAAACAAAATCCGAAATCCGAAAATTACGGTAAATATTTAACTGTTTCCTTTTTTTTTTTTAGCTTTTGCAATTGATGCTATATGCCATTAAGATTTAAGACAAAAAAAAGATACCCGTATTTTCTTTCCATTGTCCTTTGTTGTTAGAATCAAATTCAGGGTTGTGATATCTCGCAGCTCTTCTTTGCCTGATATCTTCTTGATCATCACTTTGTTGATGTACCGCACCAAAGACTTCTCTGCAGAATCTGAACATTAAATAAGATAACAAATGTGTCACTGCTACACTAGTAAGCTTTTCTTGTTAAGGGTTCATTCGATTAACTACAAATTTGGAACAAACATCAACTTAATGTTGTGATACATCCAGTGCCCCCTTGTTACGTTGTCTTCATTGGCTGCTGATCCGTAAGCGTGTTGAATTCAAAATACTTGTCATCGTCTACAAATGCATTCATTCATAAGCCCCGGAGTATCTCCAAAACCTAATTTTATTTCACAAACCTTATTATGCCACTCGCTCTTCGCTAGACTCAACTCTTCTAACTTTGCCTAAAACCAGAATTCGTACCGGTGACAAAGCATTTCAAGCTGCTGGACCACGCCTTTGGAACTGTTTGCCCATCAACATCAGGAGGCCAAAACCTTGGGCATTTTCAAGGGTCTTCTAAAAACACACCTGTTTGTCTTTTTTTCTTGTATTGCTTCGAACTTCGTTTTGTTACTGAAGTTCTGTATATTGAGTTTCATGGTGCATTGTGTAATTTATTAAATACATGTATATATTGCCTTGTAAAGCGATGTGTTCCTTGAAGGGCGCTTTATAATCCTAAAGTTGACCACGGAAGCGTGAATAAGGGTCCGCACAAAATGTTTTTGCATTTTCTTGTTATTTGGACCTTGCAGATGAATATTCCAACGGTTGCCACTTTGGCACCCTTGAGCATATAAAAAAAAAAGTAGTCCTAATATGGTATACAGGTACGCTTCCGCCATACAAAAAATATATGTTTTCTATATGTACATTCTCTACAGGATTTTGTCCAAACGTATCAATTGAGGTGCCCCGACCACGTTTTGGGGTAAACAAACTCATTAAAGCAATTTTCAATGACTAATTTATATAGGGCCTATTTTATGCACATTTTGCAAATTAGCACTCGCTATTATCAAAAATGATTATTATATCTATGTACTTTTAATTCAGGGTGGTAATTGAAAATGGCCTGGAAAACCTATAGAAGTAGGAAATGTTTGACATGTAATTTATTATTTTTCAGGGTGGATGTCTAATTATACCCCAAAACGCTAATCAGTACAAGGCCCCCTTGGTTACAATGCAGTGTGCGAAACCATTTTTTAATCAGAAGTGATTAAGCACATGTATTCTATTGTCCAAGAAATTGGTGTTCTTCAATTTTATTAAACTCCTCATTATGCAGCCTTTGCGGGAGAATCATTTAAATTCCCTTCTGTCAGTGCGCGTCTGTTGTGCATTAAAACAGAGGGCACATACATTATTTCATACTGGAGCTATGGAAAAATATCCCATAATTTAAATTTACTGGAACCCCCCCCCCCCCCCCCCCTCCCACTGCAAAAAGTGTCAATGCATTTCTTTTAAGCAGGGCCCAACTGTACACTGTTGTTTTTTACTGTTTTTAATCTGGCATGGTCGAGCTTTCGTACGTACATGTACATTAGTGACACTGCAAATATGGGTCTGGTGCAGACCTCATTTGATATTATAGATATATTAGATACTATACAAATTATATTTCTAATGACGGATGACAGATGCTAATTTGCATATAATGCATTAAACAACATCATTATCATTGTATGAATGGATTCATTTAATTCGTTGACCCTCAAAACATGGGTTTGATTACCTCATTTTATACAATGTGACAAAGTCTGTGGAGCTGTATAAGTTAAATTTCAGATAATGGCGGATGCTTATTCGCATATTATTCATAAAATTCCCCCCCCCCCCTGAATTTTTGGCCAATTCTACTAGCGAATACTTACCCGTAGAGTATTACTACATATTATGCATTATTCTCTAGAGGGTGCCAGCCCTTCGCTAAGTTTTATTACCCACAGTACCTTGCGGCCTGCCCGCCATACTTCCTCTCTTCTCGAGCGTAAGGTGCGTGAATGAACGCATACGTGAGAATGGGGAGGCAGGTGGGCACTCTACGGGTAAGTATTCGCTAGTAGAATCGGCCCACACTTCTGTGGGGGTGGGGGATTCTACTGCGCTCTACTTAGTATTACTACATATGCAGAGTAGCACCGTTTTAGGTAGGTGGGTTCGCGTACGACATGAGAGTGTACAATGTGTAAGGTGGGCTGCAAGGGAGCGTGAGTCGTATGGCTATCATAACCCAGCAAGCGATAGTATTGCAGGATGCTGGCCAATGTGGTGAAAAGTGGCAATGAACAGAGCCTAGTGGGCACCGCAGATCAGTGCAGTCCAATGGAAGTACCACTGGAGGATCCGGATAGGACACAAGATCTTGTTCTGTGGGACAGAGGACAAGATCATCAGTCAGGAACGAAGATGTCAGGCGGGAGAACATCGCTGACTGGCACTTCATGAAGAAAGAGTGATGGGAGGTCAGGCAGAGCCCACCGAGCTCCCAATGCAAATGTCCTTGATCTATGATTGTGGAGTTCACTCATGCGCTGCACTATGGCTGCTGTCAGGAGGAAACTGTTTTCAAGGATGCGGTTAAAGAGCAGTAGCCTGGTCTAGTGGTTCGAGCAGGAACCAGGCGAGAGCTCTATTGCCCAAGATATTGGTGTTCTTCAATTTTATTAAACTCCTCATTATGCAGCCTTTGCGGGAGAATAATTTAAATTCCCTTCTGTCAGTGCGCGTCTATTGTGTATTAAAACAGAGGGCACATACATTATTTCATACTGGAGCTATGGAAAAATATCCCATAATTTAAATTCACTGGACCCCCCCCCCCCCTGCAAAAAGTGTCAATGCATTTCTTTTAAGCAGGGCCCAACTGTACACTGTTGTTTTTTACTGTTTTTAATCTGGCATGGTCGAGCTTTCGTACGTACATGTACATTAGTGACACTGCAAATATGGGTCTGGTGCAGAACCTCATTTGATATTATAGATATATTAGATATAGGAGATACTATACAAATTATATTTCTAATGACGGATGACAGATGCTAATTTGCATATAATGCATTTAATAAACAACATCATTATCATTGTATGAATGGATTCATTTAATTCGTTGACCCTCAAAACATGGGTTTGATTACCTCATTTTATACAATGTGACAAAGTCTGTGGAGCTGTATAAGTTAAATTTCAGATAATGGCGGATGCTTATTCGCATATTATTCATAAAATTCCCCCCCCCCCTGAATTTTTGGCCGATTCTACTAGCGAATACTTACCCATAGAGTATTACTACATATTATGCATTATTCTCTAGAGGGTGCCAGCCATACGCTAAGTTTTATTACCCACAGTACCTTGCGGCCCGCCCGCCATACTTCCTCTCTTCTCGAGCGTAAGGTGCGTGAATGAACGCATACGTGAGAATGGAGAGGCAGGTGGGCACTCTACGGGTAAGTATTCGCTAGTAGAATCGGCCCACACTTCTGTGGGTGGGGGGGGGGGGGGATTCTACTGCGTTCTACTTAGTATTACTACATATGCAGAGTAGCACCATTTTAGGTAGGTGGGTTCGCGTACGACATGAGAGTGTACGATGTGTAAGGTAGGCTGCAAGGGAAGTGGAACAGTAGGGTTGCAGTCTCAGTGGAGTGAGAACCTAGGGTATAGGAGACCCATCAGTCTAAGGTGGTAGCTGAGAACCTAGGGTATAGGAGACCCATCAGTCTGGAGGAGTGGGAGCCAGATGTCGTTGAGGGTGAAACCCGATGTCTTGCGGAACTGTGTTGTGCTTGCGGATCTCGATGGCTTCCCGTATGCGTCTTGGATGCCAGAACTGGATCGGTGCGATGAGTTCGGCCGCATCCCAATCAACTTTGTTGTTGTTGATGTGGGAATGTTTGACAATGGCCGATTTGTCAAAATCCCCTCGCCGTCCATGTGCTCTGTGTTCCTTGAGCCTAGTGGGAAGGTTCCGACCGGTTTCGCCGATGTAGACTTTGCCACATTCACATGGAATGCGGTAGACCTGGCTTGGAAGAGGAGTCCTGCTTGTCCTTGTGAGTGTGGAGGCTGCCTTGGAGCTTGTTGCCAGATGAGTGGTACACCTTGACGCCGGCTTGTTGGAGGATGCGTTGGAGATGATGAGAAGCTGGACCTATGTAAGGAAGAGTGACTGAGGGAGATACAGTGGGAGGACCTTGGGTAGAGGAGACCCATTGGTCAGGTTTGCTGATCTTGATGCAGTTGGGTTTGTAGCCGTTCTGTTGTAGTGACGCCTGGATGTGCTTGAGTTCACGCTTGAGATTGTCTTGGTCGCAGACATCAAAGGCTCTCTGTACTAGGGTGCGGTTGACCGATGACTTGATGCTGGCATGATGGAACGACCGCTGGTGGAGATAGCGGTTGGTGTGGGTTGGTTTCCTGTAGACGCTATGTCCCAGGGTGCCATCCGGATTCCTGGAGATCTTGACGTCCAGGAAAGGTATGGTGCCGTCTTGTTCTTGTTCCATGGTGAAGCTGATGCTGGTGTGTTGCTGGTTGAGGTACTGGAGGAAGTCTTGGAGTGTGTCCGAGACAACAGATTGACCCTGCACTATGCTCTAAAAGCGATGAAGGGTGATAAAGACCACTACCATTTGAGAAAATTGTTGTGGCAGGTGGCTGATGGTAAGTCCAGAGACCCGCCATTTGGTGAGATTCTATCAACGTGCCCCAACCAAACAGAGATGAATCTGTTTTGATCGTCATGGTGGGCCGAAAGGGCGGGAAAAACCCTGGCTGATATTGTCCGGTTGGATCCACCACCGGAGACGCAGCCGGGTATTCTGTGAACACAGTACCATGTGGGATACAGGGTGGAACCGTGGACAAAAGGGAGCCAGAAAATTTAAGCAGGCCCCTATACAGGCGACTCCGCAAAAAAACAAATCTGAGGTTTGCCAGTAGGCCATGGGGGAAATGGCATTGAAAAACATTGGCGATTCGCCCCCATGTCCGGTGAGCCGTGTCCCGTTGTACGTGTAGATCGGGGACAGCACCGAATAACTGGGCCATTGGGATGAGATTGGCTGGGATTTAGAATTGGAAATTGAG